AAGTATTGTTCATTAGGCGCCATTTATTGGATCCTAGGTACGCAGTATTTTAGAATGATTGTAGAGGGAAGAAATTACTAAAATTTACAAAGAGAGCACCACAAACATTTTCTTAGTTTTTTTTTATATTTTATTTATTTTTAGAGAGAGGGGGAGGGAAGGAGAAAGAGGGAGAGAAATATTGATGTGTGAGAGCGATATCGATTGGTGGTTGCCTCGCACACGCCCCCAACTGAGAACCCGGCCTGCAAGCCAGGCATGTGCCCTGACTGGGAGTTGAACCGCCGACCTTTCAGTTAGGCCGGCACTGATTCCGCTGAGCCACACCAGCCAGGGCCACTTTCTTAGTTTTAAAAACCAGTTATTTTGAGGATGGAGTGTATAGTTATTTAACCTTCTAGTGTATATGTTTATGCTCATAAGGATTAGATTTTTTAGGTATATCTTAATCCTGTTTCTTTGTTCCTAATGATCTTGTCTTATTTTAGCTAATAAACTGTCTTTAGACAAATAACTTATAACACTCTTCCCAGAAGAATACTAAAACTATAGTATTTTGGGTTAGGAGTCACCGAGGTTCATACAAAATACTGTTAAAGGGCTGAAATAAATAATAATACGAGGGGCTAAAAGACTATGTGTCTCCAACTGGTCTGTTTTCAAGGATTTCTGGGAGGTAGAGGAACTCAGTAATTAACACTAATCTGGGTCTGCTCAGAGTTACTGAGTTAGTGTATTTTGATTCAGTCTTTCCTAAATCATTTTTATCTATTCACTGACTCTAAGTCATGTTTGAGTAAGAGCCCAAAACAGAATTATATTAGACTATAGGGTTTTTAAAATTTAAACTTTTATTGGCATGTGGATGTTGTTTAAAACAACACAGATTTATTATCTTACAGTTCTATAGGTCGTAAGTCCAAAATTAGTGTTGTAGTGCTAAAAATCAAGGCTTTGGCAGGGCTCTCTTCCTTGGGGAGAATCTGTTTCCTTGTCTTTTCCAACTTCTAGAGGCTGCTCACATTCCTTAGCTTGTGGGTTCCGCTTCCATCTTCAAAGGACACGATTCCAACCTCTGCTCCTGTTGTCAGTGCTCTTTCTGCTACCATCATCGTCATGTTACCTTCTCTGACGCTCCTGCATCCGTCTAATAAGGACTCTGTGATCACTTTGGGTCCACCTGGATAATCAAGGAAACTGCTCACTTCAAGATTCTTAATTTAGTCATATCTACAAAGTCTTTTTTGTCGTGTAAGATAGCATTCACAGGTTCAGGAACTGGAATGCAGACAACTTGGGGGGGGGGGGGGCTGTTCCTCAGCGGACGACTACTCATCCCTTCCATGCAGTCATTCGCAAGTTAGATTGTTTACATAGAAAAGGCCAAGTCATTTACAAGCAATACTACAATTAGTATGTGAGTTTAGCAAAGTGAGTGAAATGATTTTTTATATGAAGACACAGTTGAAATTTTTTAAAAAGATATCACCTGCAACATCCAGAAGTTAAAAAGTACCTTGAAATAAATCTAATAAAAGATGTTTAAAACCTTTATGAAGAGCCCTGGCTGGTGGGGCTTAGTGGATTGAGTGCTGGCCTGTGAGCCAAAAGCTCTCTTAGATTCCCAGTCAGGGCCCAGCTGGGGGCATGTGAAAGGCAAGTGATTGCTCTTTCACACAGCAATGTTTCCCCCTCTCTTTCTCCCTCCCCATCCCTGTAAAAATCAAATCAAATCTTTTTTTTTAAAAAAGCCCTGTATGAAGAAAATTACAGAAAATGTTAGACTTCCAGTTTGTAAGGATGTTGAAAGTCAAAAAGCAAAACAAACTTTTTAAAAAGTCAACAACTTCTTGGATTGTTAGAATTGAGGTCACAAAGGTATACCAGGACTCCCAAAATTAGGGAGACAGGAGACTACAGAGAATTACAACGTACTAGAACAGAAACCTCTGCAAAAACCAGTGCCAGGGGTAGGAAAACCTACACTATAATTGAAAAGTTGCTGGAGGCTCAGTGTGGACAAGTCTGAGAGCTAAAATCTTGGGTACCCAGTCATTAGGAGGGCTTCACACTTTGGTGAGTTTTACTTCCAGAAACTCTGGGGTTGGACTTTTTAATTCGTAGGTTATGCGTTTTTTGATATACTGCTACTTAAAATGATTATGTCTACTCAAGAGTAATACAGAAGAAAGAAACCTAGCTATAAATTGTTTATGTTTGTAGTATATGCTATTTAAATGTACCAGATACAGCTGATACTTATGGCTAGTACTACTTTGAATTCCTCAAGGGATAATAACGTTCTCTACTTCTCACCAGTATATGAATTACCCAGGTAAACTGGGACCACACTTCCAATCAGAGTTTACAACCCCTATGTAAGCCATCAGCATACTTTTTTTTCTCTCCGTTTAAAAATATACTCTAAATCCACCACTCCATGCTGCCTTCTGAGTCCAAGCCACCATCTCTTGCCTAGACTACTTCAGTTGGCTCCCAGGTGGATTTCCTTGCTTTCCTAAATTTAATGCCCCTTCCAACAGTCTGGATGAGCCTTTTGCAATCTAAGACCAGGTCTCTCCTCTGTTCATAGTCTCTAGCAGATTCCTGCCACATTAGAAAACAGTCTTTGGTATTTAGTTTGGCCCACAGGCTCTTCCAAGTGGATATAATTTGCCTGCAGTCCCCAAAATTGATTCCTCATCTCTTCCCACTCTGCCACTGCAGCCACCTGGGCCTCATTGTTCCCTGTATACATGCCAGTCATGCTTTTCTCTGTCCAGAATACTTTTTTTTTTTTTTCCTCCTGTAGCTATCCATGTTCCTGTTTCTTTCACTTAATTCAGGTCTCTTGCAACTCGAAAGCCTGCTCTTCAAAGAGGTAACTGCAGGCTCTGTCAAACCAGCATTCTTGGTCACCCTGTTTCCTTACCTTTTTACTTATTTTTTAATACTTTTTATGACACTGCAACTTCATTATATGTCTGTCGTCTGCTCTCCCCCCCTCAATGTAAATTCCTGAGGTCAGGAACTTTGTTTTATTCTTTTTTTATAACCCCAGTGCCTAGAACATAGTATTGTTTAGTAAATACTTATTAAATAATGGGGCATAGACACCTAGTAACTTGTACAAAACCATGTTAAAAGGTAGGAGAGCCGAGATTCAAGGTCAAGGGTGTCTGACTTTAGAATCTGTTCTGTTTAAATTTAACAAATCATGGTGCTATATTGCCCAGCACCAGACGTCTACAATTATTACTTCACTTCCTGATATTTTGAATCATTTTTGAAGTAGCTCATGGTTCCCTTACATAGATGTCTTAATAGAACTCATGATGATTGATTGTTTCTACTGCTGCCGCATTTCGTTTTTTTCCTTCTTGCCTGTTTTACGGTATAAATTGAAAGAAACATGTTTTAGTGACACAGTATCTAGTGCCATTTTCTCTCTTTCCATATATAAGAAATGAGAACAAATGTTGTACAGATTAAGTAGTAGTTCTTAAATAAGTGACTGTTTTTTGTTCTATTATGTACTGTGTTGGATGTACCAACTGCCCTGAAGGCATTTACAGTCTGGTGGATGGGGGGAGAAACAACCCCACAGGTGACTAGTATCTAGTGTATGCAGCTCAATGTTCTAAGTGCTAGGGCATAAGAAGTGGTACAGAACATTCATAGAAAGGTTGTGTAAACCAGGGCAGACTTCAGAGAGCAGGTAGAATTTGAGAGGAGCTTTGAATTTTAAAGTGTTGGAGAGTTGTATGCCAGGAGGAAAGAACAGCGTGAGTAGAGGCGTAGCAGTTCAAAGTTAGAGAAGGGATGCAGTCCAGTGTGAGTTCAAGGACAGCTCTTGGGGGCTGCTCTGATACGACTTCAGGACTAGGAGAGTGGTTGGTAACTAGTTCTGGAGGCAGGTGACTTTACAGGTTTTCACCCGTTATATTAGGTTTTGTTCATTTCTAAGCAGTATTTAGAGTCTACTCTGGGTTGGGGCTGAGAAGGACTATAGGCAAGAAACTGAATAAGAAGCGCCAGTAAAATTCAAGGCAAGATTTTGAAAATAGGCTTCGAGTGGGTTTGCAGCAGTGAGATTGGTGAGAAGGGACTATGTGTCAGTGGCACTGGCTTAAAATCTTGAGTACCGATCAATTCATATGTGCTTTGACTAAGGGAGAGAGAAAAATCAAAATTGACCACAGTTCAGATGTGAATCACTAGGAAAATGGTGGCCATCGGTAGAAATGAGGATGAAAAACATTTTTAGAGAAGATGATACATGGTGTTGCTGGGCAGTTACATTATGAACTTACTAGTAATGAATGTGTTTAGTGGGAAAGACTTTATTTTGCTATATTATTTTTACTGGATGTAATAACATCTCAGAGGTAACTGGTTACCCGAAATATGTTTTTGGTTATTTATATTTGCTAAAATTCCTGTAGACTAATATAGTTCAGATTATGTAGTTATGAGAATACATTTTTGATAATTGTATGTCATAATAAGCTTATTGGTAAAGTTATTTTCTGCTATTAGTTTAGCTCTGCTTTAGTTATCTACTGCAGCATAGCACACAACCCAAAACTTAGTGACTTGAAGCAACTACTTAATTATCCTTGTGACACTGTGGGTTAACTGGGTTTAGGTGGGTGGTGGCTTCTACTCCCAGTCGTTTGAGCTAGAGCTTTAGTCATCTAGGAGCCTAACTGGGCCGGGAATCAAGAGGGCCCACTCACAGGGCTCAGAGATGACTTTGGTTGAGAGCTCAGCCAGGGCTGATAATTGGAGTGACCTGATTCTCCTTCACCCAGCTGTGCACATCCTGGTAGCTGGGTTCCAGGAAGGAAAGTCCCAGAGGCCAGTGTTCCATGAAGAACAAGACAAACACTTCCAGTTCTCCTGAGGGCCTATGCTCAGGGATTCCAGAAAGTCTCTTCCGCCATATCCTGCTGGTTAGAGCAATCACAAGGACAGCTCAGATTCATGCAGAGGGAAAACTAGCTCCATTTCTTAATGTGAGGAGCAATGTGTACATTTACTAATTTTTAGGCGCCATCTTTGGAGACCAGTTAACAGAAGTTCTAATAAACTTATTAATTCAATAAATACTGGGACATTCACTTTGTACCAGATATTTTTCTAGTAGATTTGATACTAAACTGAGTCAGTAATGCCCCTGCTCTCTAGAAGGTTAACGTAATATCCAATCATGATAACTGCTATTAAGAAAATAAAGTATGGAGGAAGGTGCCATTAAACAAGATAAGGAAGGCTGGTGACTTAGCAGGTGCGTACTTGAGCTAGAGCTTACATGAATTCTCAAGCAGAAATTTGCTAATGACTCATGCCTTAATTTCCACTGTGTCAACACAGTTGTAGCACAGGACTGTCTCACAGAACCCTCTGCAACGATGGGCGTATTCTGTGCTGGCCCTGTCTGGTGTAGTGCTAGCCTCCTGTGACGGTTGAGCACTTGGTATGGAGCTACTACAACTAAGACCTGAACTTTTTATTCTATTTAATTTTAATTAAAGAGTCACATTTTGGCTAGTGGCTACTGTATTGGGCAGCTCAGATCTAGTAAGTAGAAGATGCTCAACATTCTTGTCCTATTTCAGACTTGGCTACTTTCTTGACGTACTAGAACTTAGTTTATTTCCAAACAGTAAGCATGTTACAGCTAGGTACTATTAAAAATGTGTGGAGTATGGAATCAGACAAATTTGGATTTGAATAACCAACACTCCTAGTTTTGTGTCTGTGGATGTGTATTTTAATCAGTCTTTTCCTCAGCACTTTTGAGAGTTTGATGGTGTGCAGAACACTTAACATTCCTTTCATTTGAAAACTTTGATTTAAAATGGAGAGAATATAAAAGTGTGCATTTTGTGACTCTACCTATAAAAATTACATTCAACCCTGGCTGGTGTGTGTGGCTCAGTGGATTGAGCACAGGCCTGCAAACCAAAGGGTTGCTGGTTTGATACCCAGTTGGGGCATATGCCTGGTTGCAGGCTGGGTCCCCAGTAGGGGGCGCATGAGAGGCAACCGCACGTTGATGTTTCCCTCTCTTTCTCCCTCCCTTCCCCTCTCAAAATAAATAAAGTCCTTAAAAAATTACATACAAATAAAGACTTGAAATGGAGATAGAGGAATAAGAAAATAGTATTTAAGATGGAGTTGTGCATGATTATTTTTCTAATGTTCTGCTATGTTGTGTTTTGAAAAATAAAAAAAAATTAAACTGATATGGCTTTATCAATTTTGTCTTTATGGGCAGTGTTTATAGTGATATTTTTATATTACTAATAATTTCAGCTACCCTGTCAATTAATTTTTAGTGTGACTGGCTACAGCTAATTTCTTTGTTCACCTTTTAATCTCCATTTGCTTCCTGATTATTTTTCTTTGTATTCATGTTACTTATGTATGTTTGTATATTTTTTCACTACTAACTTTTTTGCATGTTTTCTTTGTAAATTATTTTCTCCATTCTAGAAGACTTTTGAAGCTACCTTCATTCTTAAAATTCTCCATAGTGATGTGCGCTGTTTTGATTTTCTTGGTTTTTTTAATTCCTTTAAAAATCTATGCAGTTAATTCTTATTTAAGATTAAACCACATTTATTAAAAGATTTGCTTTTAATTTGCATTTAAATGGTCAGTTTAGAATTTGGGGAATTCTCATCTCATAAATCTAATCCCAGCTTCCTTGAACCAAGGAATACTAACTTTGCACGTTAAGTGTCTAAATGGCAGCTCTCCCTTTTCCTCACCTGCCAGTTTCATCATTTAATGGTCAGTGGATTCCAACATTAAGTTCTTTAATTGCTTTTCTGCTTGAAATGTTCTAGATAATTCAGAGTTTTATTTCAGACTTTGAGTCACATAAGCAATGTTTTACCCTCTACTCTTTTACTGTGGGCAGTAAAAATGGAACTTCTTGTATAAAGGAGCTGTACAGGCCGAATAAGTTTAAAAAGTGTCCAGTTAAATTTTTGGACATCACCACTGAACTGATATAAAAACTCTATCTCTAATAATGAACTCCCTTGAATTATGTTCTTGGATTTTTAGCCACTTATTGAACATTCCTATTTAGATATTCCTTCTCATTTCTTGATTATACCTTTGGAATTAAAAAATAAAAAGTTCTGATTGATACATGGTATCAGAATTCTCCCAGTCATCTGGGCTCAGGTTTTTATAGTTATCTTTGATAACCTCCATTAACTGTGTAGGCAGTCACCAGTACCTACTAATTCTTTATAGGTTCAGCTTAATCCTGCTTGTCACCACCTTTGTTCAAGCACATAAAGCCTCATACCTGGGTTTTTGTGTCCTGCTGCCATGAGATGAATATTTTTAAATCAGCATGGTACTTTTCATATCATTCTCTGTGAGTCCCCATTGCCTACAGGAAAAGTATAAATGGCTTATATATGTTGTTTTTCCATGAGTGTATGAGACTGTTTTTGGAAACATGAAAACTCATACAATTTGCAAAAAACTACTGGCCTCTTGATCACTTTTCTCAGTTTTATTTTCCGTATTTCCTACAAATGCCTTCCGCTTTAAGACAGATAAATGTGCTATTCCTTAGCCAGACATTGATTATTTTCATCTATGCTTGGTGTAGCTTAATATTTATTAATCATTTATTTTTTGGTAGGTATGTGTTTATGGTATATGGTATAGGTAAGCCACATTTTTGCTCAATTTCAGTTCTGTTTATTCTTCAAAACTGAGTTTTAAGTTCTCTCTTTTGTACCGCTTTCCCTTGATCGCTCTAGCCTACAATAACTTTTTCTTTTCAGCCAGGAGCTCACTGGCTTATATTTCCCCCACTATATGTCCACATAATATGAGTGTACATATATTACATATAATAAAATAACACACCCACAACATATATGAACATATATAACATATAATATCCAGAACATAGGGACAGCTTGATTAATTATTTTAATTTTTCCAATTTGATTGAGATGCAGTTGACCTAGAGCTTGGGTAAGTTACTGGGGTGCCCAACCTTTTGGTGTCTCTGGGCAACACTGAAAGAAGAAGAGTTGTCTTGGGCTCCACGTTAAATACATTGCAACATGTAATCACAAAATAATCTCATAACATTTTAAGTAAATTTACGATTTTGAGTTGGGCTGCATTCACAGCCATTCTGGACCACAGCTTGGACACACCTGGATAAGGTATGTAGCATAATGGCGCGACAGACAATATTGCAAAAAGATTACCACAGTAAATTTAGTTAACCCGCATCTCCTTGTACAGTTACAAAAAAAGAGAGTAACTTAAAAGTGAACTTCTCTGTAACCACAATCAAAACTCAAGAAATGGAACATTAATAATACCTAGAAGTCTAACCACATGCCCCTCCCCAATCAAACCTCTTCCTTCCCTCCTATCCTTTTGTGACAATCATGTTGCTTCTTACAGTTTTGCCGCCCATGTATGAATTCCTGAACTATTTTATTTTGTTTCCGAAGTTTAAATGAATGGAATCACGTAACTTTTTGACTTGTTTATTTTGGCATATTTTGGCATTCAGCTACAGTTCTGTGTAGCTGAAGTTCATTCATTTTTTTTTGTTGTGCAACATTTCATTTATCCGTTCTATTACTGATGTCCGTTTGGGCTATTTATACTTTGGGGTTATTAGGAATAAAGCTACCAGAAGCACTCTGGTGTACATGTCCTGTGTATATATGCACAAGTTTTCCTAGGTTATATTTGTAGTTGAGTCGCTGGATCACAGGGTGTGCATAACTTCACCTTACCCAGGTAAAGCCAGTTTTCCAGAAGACTGGCACAGTTTAGTCTCCTATCAACAGCATATGACACTTCTTTTTTTCCCTAATACGTAGAATTGTCAGACTTAAAATTTTGCTATTTTGGTAGGTGTGTAGTGGTATTTCATTGTGGTTTAAATTTGCATTTCTGCTTATCTTTTCATATGTTTATTCAGTTGTAGTTCTTTTGTTACGTATCTACTGTATTACCTTTATTTTTGTATGGAACACTTTTATATAAAATGTACATATACAATCTTTTTACTTATTAAATACGTTAATCTTTTATTAGCACCAGCCTGACCATAATGGTGTAGCTGCTTGGTTCAAAGCCAGTCTGAGACAGGAGGAAATTTTGGTCCTCACATCAATCCCACCTTTTATAAAAACTTTATCAAGAAGCAGATTTAACAATCAGCATTAATTTGGTAGCAGAAGGTATCAGTAGACAAGTACTTTTCATGAGTGCCTGCTAATTCCTCCACTCATGGTCTTATGTTTTAGTTAGTGTTAAGAGCTGCAGTTAGCCGATCCTGTTTTATGCCATGGCAACACTGAAGAATCATTAACAGGAATTAGCTAAAAAGTATTGAGGCAGCCAGTAGTCAATAAGCGTGTAGTTTTTGGAGTCAAACAGACTTTGGTTTCAGTTCTGATTCCAGAAATGGGGGGCCTTGAGCGCATTATCTAAGCTATCGGAAATTCAGTTGTGCCATGTGCAAAATGGAAATAATAGCCTATAATGTTGTGATGATTCATGTGAGGCATTTAATACAGGTAAACAGCACAGCACATCACCTGGCCGGTGTCCATCATCAACAGTGATGAAATAGAAAACCACCTGTCACCTGGTATTTATGCTAATATGAGGTTTCAGATCGAGGACTGTGGTGAGGAAAGAACCTGGAATGGTTCCCATGTGTGCCTCAGTTAAATATGAAGATGGTGTATAATTCATCTTCCATTTTAGGATTTTTAGGTTGTGGAATGGGGAAGGCAACAGGAAAGAGAAGTGAGGGACAGACCAGTGCACTTGGAGCCCCCCAAGTGCAGGGACGAAAGGAAAGGAAAACCGGTACTGCCCCATCTTCCTTCTACCCCATTACCCACTTAGTGGGAACTGTTTTTGGGTGTGTTTTTTTCCATTTATAATTATGACAATATTGTTTGCCAGCTCTGTTTTTATCCCTTATTGCTTCTCCCCATTTGGTATTTAATTCCTATAGCAATATTAAAGTGACGATATTTTATTATGGTTGGCAAAAGTTGAATGTGAGAACAGTAAAATTAAATATCTGCATTCAGGGCAGTATTATTACTAATGTATTGTTCTGTACTGTTTTTATTGCAGCTTGTAGATTTTCAGTGGAAACTGGGTATGGCTGTGAGCTCAGACAGTTGCAGATCACTTAAGTATCCTTATGTTGCAGTGATGCTAAAAGTGGCAGATCATTCAGGCCAAGTGAAGATCAAGTCTTTTGAAATGACAATTCCCCAGTTTCAGGTTTGTGATTTAATTTATTCAGTTCTAGCTCATTGTTCTGTAATTGCTGCTTAAAATGATGTATAAAATCTTTATTAAAGGAGAATATTAGTTTTTATTTGTAGTTGTTTTGATGTGCTTTATTAATACAAAATAATCTGAATTTGTTTTATTTGGGAATGGTACATTATTTTCAATATAATATGCTGGATTTGTATTCTGTGACATTTGGTCAGTTTCACAATACTCTTCTGTAGTGCATTTAGGAAGTTCTCATCTTGTCAGGCAGGATATTTACTTTGCTTTTAACTGTTTTATTCTTATTCTTTTTAGGCTTAATGTTTGAGAATGATAAGCTAAATGAAGCTTATTTTGAATAGTATTGATCTTGAACTTTCTGACTAATAATGATTATAAAATGCAGATCAGAGCACCAGTACTTGATGAGTAGTTCTGTTACTTCAAAATTTGAGTAACTCCATAGTTTGTACTTAGGGTCATGTTATTCATATTATCATTCTGCCTCTTTTCAATAAGGAAGGAAGAAAAAAGGGAATAGGTGAGAAATTAGATTTCCTTTTAAATGTATATACAGAGAAATGTTTTGTCATCGACTAATTTGGGTTTTGTTTTTGTTTGATTTCTTCCTGAGTGACTAGATAAGAATCTTCACAGCAGTTATACTCTAAGAAAAATCCCTCACATACCACGTTAGGGCATTTTTGATTTCTTCTTTTACAAACTACACTTTTCCCCTCATCTTTATTAAAGTCTAATTAACAAATAAAAATTGTGTGTATCTAAGGTATACAGGTATAGTTTTGGTATACATATACATTGTGAAATGATTGCCGCAATTAAGCTAATTAACATGTCTTTCACCTCACATAGTTACCTTTTTTGTGTGTCTGTATGGTGAGAACACTTAAGATCGGCTCTCCTAGCTAATTTCATGTATATAATACATTATTATTAACTGGTCACCATACTGTATGTTAAGTCTCCAGACTTACTCCTCTTATAACCAAAAGTTTGTATCTTTGACAAACATCTTATTTTCCCCACTCCCCAGCCCTGGTAACCAGTCTACTTTCCGGTACTAGGAGTTCCACTTTTTTCAATTGCAGATATAAGTGAGGGCATGCAGTATTTGTCTTCCCGTGTCTGCCTTATTGCACTCAGCATAATGTCTTCCAGGGTCAGTCATGTTGTCAAATTAGCAGGATTTCCTTCTTTTTAAGGATGAACAGTATTCTATTGTGTATGTGTATGTATAATTTACATGTTTTACATATATATTTTTTAAAGATTTTATTTATTTATTTTTAGAGAAAGGAGAAGGGAGGGAGGGAGAGAAACATCAATGTGTGGTTGCCTCTCATGTGCCCCCTTACTGGGGACCTGGCCTGCAACCCAGGCATGTGCCCTGACTGGGAATCGAACTGGCGACCCTTTGCTTCACAGTCTGGTTCTCAATCCACAGAGCCACACCAACCAGGGCTACATGTTATATATATTTTTACATATCACATTTTCTTTATCCATTCAGCTGTCAGTAGACACTTAGGTTGTTTCCATACCTTGGTTATTGTGAATAATGCTGCAGTGAACATAGGAATTCAGATATCTCTTTGAGATAGTGATTTTATTTCCTTTGGATATATATCCAGAAGCTGGGTTGCTAGGTCATAGGATAGTTCGATTTTACAAATTAGATACTAAGGGTTTTTTCCCCCTTTGATTTCTTTTTTTTTTTTAAACTGATACTTCTGCTTTAGAACAAAAAATAATGGTCACATATTCAACATTAATAATGCTAATTAGGATATCAAAAGGAATTAGGACTTGGTTAAAAGGAAATAAATATATTATGATACCTGAGTAGTCTGTCAACTCAGTATAAGGACCCAGTCAATTTCAAAAGAATATAGGTTTCAGTTCTGTTTGTAGTTCAGAATCCTGGCCTTATTCTTATTTTTCTGTGCTGCATTTATGCTGATTCCACCTCCAGAATGTTTTTTCCTCAGGAAAAAAAACCCACAAATTCTTTTGAAGTTAGTGTTTACATAGCTTAAAATCTACCCAGGTAAACAGCCTATTAGTCACTGGGAGTCTATTACAGGACTGAGACCTTGGGAACATTCTTTGAGCTTTTAATTTGTATCTTTTTTGTAGCTGAAATTTTGACCACCAGTATATATTTTTAAAGAAATAGTTACATTCTGCTTCATTCCATAATCAATTTGCATATAAAGTAAAACAAAATACATACTCTTAAGAAGCAAAACAGAATTAAAACCAAAAAATAAAAATGCAAATATGTAAATCATTAGAGGGAATGCTAATTGCTGAGGTTAAATTTTTATTTTATTGACCTTTCTTTGAATATTCTGATATCTCTTGCCACCTTGCATGTTAAGTACACTGTACTAATGAGTTAAGTAAACAATTGGTATTTACCATATTTTGTGCAAAATTCATTAATTCAACATTTATTTGAGAAAATTATCTGAGAACTTTCTCTCCCTCATAGAACTTACTGGTCGTAGACAGTGGACAAGTGAATAAAAACACTTAATATATAATTGCAAACAATAATAAGTGCTGTTACAGCAGGTATGAATTATAATGAGCCTGAAATGTCAGATTAATTTTTTTTTTAAACAAAATTAAACCTATTTCAGGACCCCTGCCTAATCAGTCAGGCTAGTTGCAAAATTTATCATCGAGGTTAAATTTTAAATTTGCCTCCTTGCTTCCTGGCAGGTTGAGAGAAGGAAGACAGAATTTGTTTGGTTCTCCTCTTATCTGAGATTTGAATAAAGAAGATGACTTCTACAGGAGAGTGATCAGGCTAGCTCAATTTTTAAATGAAATATAAATGAGCTTCTGCCATTCAAGCCATTGTCAGTGTTGGTTCTCTCTTATTGTAATGGAACCCTTATCTTAAACAAAACAGTCCCTATTACCCTGAAATCCAGTCTTTCACTAGATTTAAAGTTATTTGAAGCCTGGAAACCAAATTGTCATTTTTTTGTTTTTGTCTTCAGTTTCTAGGACAGTGCTGGGTAGTTAATAAATCTTTCTGGCGTGATTTCAAAAGAACTTTCTTGGATGCTCTTTTGAAAAGTTTAGTCATGTGCTAATTATCCAACTCTGCTTTAGTACCAAATTATACTTCTTTGTTTCTGAGAATAACCTATAATATTTGAGAATATAGCCCTGGCTGGTGTGGCTCAGTGGATTGAGCGCTGGCCTATGAACCAAAGGGTGGCAGGTCTGATTCCCAATCAGGGCATGTGCCTGGGTTGCAGGCCAGGTCCCCAGCAGGGGGTGCATGAGAGGCAACCACACATTGATGTTTCTCTGTCTCTTTCTCCCTCCCTTCCCCTCTATCTAAAAATAAATGAATAAAATCTTTAAAAAAAGTAAAAATAATAAAAGAGAATATAACATCAAAATATAACCTTAATATGTTCTATAGCCTCTGATGGTCAGATACTATTGGGAGAACTATTAAAATTACCTCTGAAAGCAAAATTAATACTATTTTTCTCCTTTCTCTCCAGAATTTCTACAGACAGTTCAAGGAAATTGCTGCAATTATTGAAACTGTGTGAACACTGATTACCTGATTGATAAATTGCTGCCATCGTTCTAAATTATGGACTTCACTTTCTGCAATATAACTGCATGAGGATCAGAAGATATTTATTGAAAGAGAATTGCACTTTGGTTTTTCCCTTTTTTAAATAAAAAGATTAGACAAACAGGACTTAGGTAAGAGGTGATTGATGCACTTATTGATGTGAAAGTACTAAAAGCCACTGAACTGAACACTTTATAGGGTGAACTCAGTGAATTACATCTCAATAAAACAAATAGCTGAATGGTTGAAAATACTGAAAAGGATGCCATTACCTTATAGATTCAATTTTATAACATTCAATTACTACAAAAACAGTCAGTGAGAAGAATGAGGCTACTCTTCTCAAACATTTGGAATCACGTTAAGATTGACTGTTTCCTTGTATTAGCTAAGCATTCAGTTGTTTCTGTTTTAATATTTATAAAAAGTTCAGATAAATGCACAGAGATAAGTAAGTTTTATTCTGAGTTCTTTCTATATTCAACTGAGTTAACCTGTTAGTATAAATTATTGTTTTAGATGATCTCCATTGAATTTAAATTTATAAGTCAATTGTTAAAATATAAAGGCACAGGAATAAACACATGTAGCATTGCTTAGGAATAGACAGATTACTGGAGTACACTAAGTGGCCCAGAAATAGAGACTTTTCGGACAAGGTTAGTATTTCCGTTGGGTGGGAAAACATGATTATTTAATAAATAATACTAGCAGTCACAATGTATGCAAAAGTAAATTCCAGATGGATTTATGTCAAATTGAAAAGATAAAAATGAGAAGTTTTAGAGAATATTTACGTTAACTAAGGCTTGGGAAGACAGCAACCCAACAGCAATAAGAGAAAACATAAATGTATTTGAAAATAAGAATTAAATTATTTGTAGAAAAATAATGGGCCATAAACAAAAACAAAAGACAAATGCCAAGTTGATGTATAAGTCCTTGGTCTGGAAAACAAATTGCTTTAAATATTCTAAATGGGAAGAGAGTTTTAAACAAGAAATTAGATGTTTACTAAACTGTCAAAAATGCTGAGGGAACGAGTCACAAGAAATTGCTGGCTTTTGGAAATCCAGTAGTGCAAGAATTTCAGGGAAAGCTGCTGCCAGTAATCTCTCCGCCATGAAGGATATTACTTGGAAGCCATGGTTCATGCCCTTTCTGCCATCTGTCAACATGCGCTTCATTGGGTGGAAGTTAAGCTGGGGACCCTGTTAAAACAAATTTAATCAACTGACTTTCCTGGGGTTTAGTGCCTACTGAGGGGAGATTTAGAAGAACGAGAATAGTGTTGAGTGTTTTTACCCTGCTGGCAAGACTTAAGGTCTTTTTGCAAAGTGGGGTTACACCCCCATATCACATAGAAATTTCACAGTCCAGGAATACATCCTTGGGAATGAAGCCACCAATATATTTGGCAAAATTGGCTAAATGCCAGTCTATTACCTGTGTTTGGGCCTCTAGAAAGACTGCATTTCCCAGCCTCCTTTGCTGTTAGTCAGGGATCCCATGCTTGGGTTGTAGCCAATGGATTTGGGGAAGAAGTGTCTTGAGCCACATCCAGCCTTCCTCTAAATCATTCCTCGTCCCCTTCCAAGCCCTCTCCCATCCTCGCCGCTGTCAGTGAGGGGCTCTAAGCCAGCGAAAATGTGATGGGGAGGGTCCCTGAAGCGCTAGTGGAGGTACACTGTGCAAGAATGGCCTGACCTGCCTTGGACAGTCGTGTGAGCTAGCAACTTACTGTAAGCTGGTGAGATTTTTGCATAACGCAAAATAGTGTATGAGGATTTTTATTGTGGCATTTTCAGTGGCAAAAAGCAAGATGAAACAGCAAAGAATACCTGTCAGGAAGGAAAAGTTGAATAAATTTGGCACTTCAATCTTATGGAATGACATATAGCTAAGATTTGCCTCTGGGATATTGTCAATACTCTACATATTGTTATGGTCTATAAGATTTTGTGAAAGTGCATCCATACTTTTGAACACAATGGAAAATGAAGAGTGTGGAAGGAGGGCTACCAGGTTGTAAGCACTGGTGCAGGCGGTATCTAGAGAGGCAAAGGAAGAAAATTTAAAAATTGTTTTCTGGTTTTAAGTCCATGAAATATTCGAAAAAATATGCATTACAGTTCTAAAAATACTTGAAAATACATAATTTTTTAAAAGTATTTTTTAAGTATGCTTCTGAAAAGCTCATGTAGTTTTTTAATGGTATAATGTTTCCTTACTACTTTTAACAAATGCGTAGTGTTTATGATACAAAATTATTTGTTAACTGCCTCCTCAAACCAGGATAGACAAACCTGAAATACATTAAACGTAGGCCTCGCTGTGCTTTAGAAATGGTGACCCCAGCTGGGCCCAACATTTTGGTTGGCACCACTGTAAAAAATTTCATTTCTATCTCTCCTCTGTGTCCTCTTCTGATCCTGCACCTTGGAAATGTATGTCCTTTTCACACCTGGCAGCATTTCTGCGGGTCTCTTACGTAAATCTACTTTCTTTGTCCTCTGCTAGGTAGCACACTGCTGTGAGGAGCTCAAGTCCAAGTTCTGTCCACCTGTATACTTAGATCCCACCAGCTTGAGGAGTTAGCCAACTGGTCATTCAGGCTTAGTAACTGCTAGCAGACATCCTGTTGGCCCGCCTCTGATAGTAAGACTGCATTTACTACTGCATTTACTCTGGGAGAGTGAGAAGCCATGTCTCCTCTCTATCTCTTCTTCCATCCTGCTGAGCACCAGTTTCATTGTATTCCCAGAAATAACAGTAGAAACCAACCCAACCCCAATCTGGGTTAAAACAACTTTCTCGCCTTCCCAGACTGTGCATAGAGTCCCTCCGTCGCCTACCCATCCCAGTTTAACATCTTCTGTTCTTCCTTTTGCATTTGAAATGTTTAAGGTTATATGCAAAGACGCCCAATGTGAACGGGCTCAAACACTGTGGGTGATTCAAATAAATTTAAATTGTATATTTAATTTTTATCTCTTTAATTTAAAAGACAAGTTTTTTCATAATTTAGTTTGATACTATTTCATTACAAATGTCTTTTTGTTTATAATAAATTCAGTGAGTTTCACTGGGCGCCTGGGAATTAACCACAGTTTGTAATAACATTTCTGTGGGAAAATGTGTTTCAAGTTTCAAACACTTGACTTAAATGTAAACTTTTGGAAAACAAGTCATTTTCAAGTTGGAAAATGTATTAACAAGCTTTTAGTTTCCAAAAGGAATAGTTTGCATCTGAGCTTATCAAGCACAACACAAGTATTTTAATACAAGTATTTTAATAACCTGCTACCAAGACAGGTTAACATAAGAATCATATTTATGTGGCTAGAAGGCAAAAACGGTCACATTTAAAGGGATTGAAACTTCCAACACACTGATGACTTGTTTTTGAAAGTGTTTAAGCAGAATTATCTTTTAAAATAATTTGTAAAAATTATTGTGTGATTTAGATTTTAAAAAACTTTTGTTTTTTAGAAGTTTTAGATTTATAGGAAAATTAGAAGATAGTATTAAGTTCCCTCATATCCCACACTCTGTTTCCCCTAATTAACTTCCTATATTAGTATAGTACATTTCATCGGTGAGCCAATAGTTATGCATTAGTTTTCTTTAGTTATTCTCTAATATCCATTTTCTGTTTCAGGATCCCATCCAGGACATCATATTACTTTTAGTTTCATGTCTCCTTAAGCTCTTCTTGTCTGTGGCCGTCTCTGAGACATTCCTAGCTTTTGCTGACCTGACAGCTTTGAGCGGTATGGGGCAGGCATATTGTAGGATGTGCCTCAGCTGGGGTTTGATGTTTTTCTGGACTGGAATGATGGATATATGGGAAGAAGGTCATGGAGATAAAATGCCATTTTCTTCGCATTATGTCAAGGGGATATACTAGCAGTATGATTTATGACTGTTGATGTCAATCTAGATAAACTTGCTGAAGCAGTTGTTTCTTAGGTTACTCTGCTACAAAGTTCCTCTTTTTCTCCTTCTTTCCATGCTTTTCTCTGGAAGGAGGTTACTGTGTGCAGCTTCTGCTTAAGGAGTGTGGAGTTATGAGCCCCTCTTTTATCATGATGTCCCTACATATTTTATTTGGAATTCTTACATGAGAAATTTGACTCTTTTCCACAATTATTAATTACTTACATCAGTATGAACTCCTGAATATTTATTTTATAGTTGGGATTATAATTGAATACTCCTGTTGCTCAAATCATGCCAGCATTGACCATGGGGAGCTCTTCCTTTTGGCTCCTGTGTCCGTTTGACATCTCCCTCCCTCTTTTCTGTCACTTGACACTACAGGATACTCCAGGCTAATTTGCATATTTTCTGTCCCAGTCCTAGAGTCAGCAGACATTTCTCCCAGGAGCCCTGATTCTTTTTATTGGACAATGGTGTTAGAAGGTCTGTATTTTAGATTTTGAGATCATTAAAAATTTAGGAGTCTGATGTACAGCATGGTGACTGTAGTTACCAATATTGTATTACATACATATTTGAAAGTTGCTAAGAGTAAATCTTAAAAGTTCTCATCACAAGAAAAGCAATTTAATAACTGAGGTGATAGGTATTAACTTACCGTGGTAATTACTTCACATTATACACATATATCAAATCATTTTGTTATACACCATAAACTAATAACAATGTTACATGTCAATTATAGCTCAGTAGAGCTGGGGTGGGGAGGAGGGCATTTAGAAGTCTGAAAGAAAAAGTTCTGCCTCAGTAGGTCAGACCACAAAATCTGGCTCAGATTCTAGGATTGGTGAGAAAGATGACCTGGACTTGGTAAATGTTATTGCTTCAGTTTACAAGTGAACCAGCTGACAAACGGCAAAATGATATATATGGGATCATGGATGCAAGAGAATGGATGTATCTTCCTGGTGACGTGGGCTAAATAAGGTAGTTGATACGGTGCTTTCCTCTGGAAGTCACCGAGGACTCCAGACTCGGCATAGGTGACCAGCCACCCTCAACATCTGCATTCCATCTTGTGAAAAACATGGCAGCTCCGATTTCTATCATGTCTACACACCAGTCAGCAGAAGAGAGAAAAGGAATGGTAAGGTCATAGTTTTCCACATAAACCCATGTCCTGGGTGTTAACACACTTCATTCTGCTCACATCCCATCGGCCAGAACCAATTCATGTGGCCACAGCTGCAAAGGAGACTAGAAACTATAACTGAGTGGCTGTGTGCCTGTTTAAAAGTTCTACTGCTGTGTTACAACACTGTAACCAAAATCATAATAAGTTACAATTGCAATCAATTGTCATAGCTTCTTCAACTTACAATGCTTGGGGGATCTCTAAATTTGCATTAATAATGCCTTTATAAACCATTTCTTACGGAGTACAAATTTCTAATCCTCCAATTAAGTGATGCAAAGTAGACTTGGGGATTGTGTTGGGAGTCCTCAGGACCACCTTTAGTTTTGATAATTCATTAGAGTAACTATCAGACTCAGCATGGAGGCACACTCATGCTATGACTTAATACCATGAAAGGATGTAAAGCCAAACGAGCAAAGAGAGAAGACACATGGAGCAAAATCAGATGCAAGCTTCTGATTTTCTCCCAGTAGAACCATACAGGATGTGCTTAATTCTTCAAGCAACAAGTTTTGACAAATTGTGGGAAATGTTGCCAACCAACAAAGCTCATTAGAGACTCAACACCCAGGGTGTTTATTGGGGGCTGATCATATAGGCACCCTCTGCCTGGAATGTACCCAAATTTCAGTCTCCCAAAAGGAATGCAGGAGTTTGCATAAGTTCTATTGTTTGTACAAACAGTTTAAACACAGTTAGCCAAGTGTGAGTTAATGGTGCAAACCCTCCTGAAATCCAAGTTCTCAGATGCCAGCCAAGGGCCAACCTTCTGAGCAGGCCTTTTTAAGTAAGCAATCAGGACTACTATGTTAATTCTTCAGTACAGGGATAATTAAACTTAACTAAAAGTTCTGGAGGTGACTTACTATACAGCTTCTTATATATTGCCTAAAGGAATAATTTACCTGTTTTTATGCTATTGGTACTATTAATATTTCATAAATTCTTAAGCAAAGAATGATGCTAGTATAATTTAAGCTACAGTATAATACACAGTATAATAGTATAATTCTAGTACACTGATCAAAAATTTTAGAACTTAAGTATGAAAGAAACATTTTTAAGTTTGAATAAGAAACTTACGTGTGCCATCATTTAAATGGAATTTTACTATTTCACATATCATTCTCCAAAGGGTACGTGGATTTTACCAGGCCTGCATTTGGTAAGAAAGACAGATATTCCAGCAGTTCACTTACCAACATTTTATAGCACACAGAAATACTAAATGTAATGGATTGCATAGCTTGATTAACTTGATCTTGATATATGCTCTTTTGAATTACATGTGCCCTAGGAGAAAGTAGTTATTACTCTTTGGCTAGTTGTTATTTCAGCATGAGAACATTTGTTAAAGAAAAGCACTACCGTGTCTTTTTGTTTCATGTTTCTGTATCAAGGGAAAGGGCAAAGGAATATTTAAGATGTGCTATTCAAGAACTGTTACTATCAAGAACACAACTGCAGGATGCAGAGAGATTTCATATTCTAAGCCTGTGAATTTAGACAGAAATTAGCATTCTAGCCCATAGGAGTTTCCAAAGGAATGGCAAGGCAAATGGGAATCCTAGAGAAGCTGCCTGTGTTTACTGTCTCCTTCCAAGTATGCAAACGCCTTCACACCATGGAAGTAGCTAATTTAGTTACCCATGGTGGGGGTGGGGGCGGTGCTTGCTTTCTAGTATAGATATTTAACTATTCATCAGTCACATACTTGGTGTCTACTTTGTACCAAGCATATAACAAGCGTCAAGATTATTGGATGAATGAAACTTAGATTATGCCCTTAGATAAAACTCTGAGACAGTGTATTTCAACCTATAGGGTGAGTACAAATCAGCTGGGGAGTTTGTTCCTGTCCACAACCCCTTAGTGGACAGGGGTGTAGGTGAAAGCTTAACCATTTATTAATAATTGTTGGGATTGGGTGATGTGTATGTTTGGGTTCATTTTGCCATTTTATTTTTTATGTGAAAATTTCCATAATTTATTTTTTTAATCCTGGGCATTTACTATGTTTTATTTTTAAAAAAGACTGCAGCATTTGAAGTTTACAAATCTATTGGGAGACCAAGATACATCACAGAACGATTTTTATCACATAGCCGCCCTTAATCATACACACTACCGTGATTAAAGCCCACTTTGAGCCACAGGATATGCTTTTGGTATTTTGATTAGTGATATATGAATTGGTAAGCAGCTTGCTTCACAGTTGTACTGGCAGTAAAAGATGCTTGGCTCCAACAAATTTCCAAATGTAGTTTTGCACTCAAATCATTTGGAAATACTAATTAGATTAAAATATTTAAAACATTTTTTCAAGAAATTAACAAAAAGGACAGAGAGACATGTCAAAATAAACAGAATAAATACGCTAGACATATTTTTAAAACCCAATTCATGGTGAACATCTGAAGGTGGGAATTAGGCTCTATTGTATGTGAAAAATGAATAAAGTTGCAAAATAATGAAATCAAGTGGCTATTGTTAGGGCCGTTGGCGACGCGGGCTGTGAAGGAATTCACAAAGAGAAGAAAGTGCGAAGTAAAGGTTTTGTTTTCCTTTCCCAAGGGAGGGAGAGGTTAGGGTGCAAAGATAGACCCCAGCACCAGCCCTGAGGGGCAGGGGCTGTGAGCTTTTACCCAGTAACGGAGGGGTTGTGGAGCAGGATGTTTCAATTAGGCTGCAACGTGTTTCGATGTTATCTTTGCGTGCAGGGTCTGAGCCAGTCTGGTAGGTCCTGTTTCGTAAGTTCCTGGAGCTTCTGCACCTTCAGGGCGCTTCCAGTAATTTTCTAGGCCT